TTTGTTTCGCGTCATAGAGCATCCTCCACGTCTATATGCGATAACCTCCTCTGATCAAGTCTCTAGTAAAAAATGTGCTAGATTAATAGTGGAATTTGCTTGCTTGAATGCGAATGAAGTCGATAGTTGTTGTCCACGAAACCACTGAAGAAGGGGGTGAACGGATTTCTTAATCTTGGGATGGAATTACAACTTACAGGTTATAACGTCGTTGAGTGCATCTTCAGCGGCTGCGACGTGTGATTGCATTGAATGTTAGAACTATAAAAAAAAGTCATTTATTTGACTAAAAAATTGTTTAGTTTTGTCACTGTAAGCCTTTCGATAGCATCTGACCATTTGGCAACTTCGAGAATCTTAAAAAAATCGAGAACATTAGTTTAATCAAATTTGATCATCATTATTTAATAGTTTATTTAATCTAAACAATCAGGCACCAAAATCAAACATGATGGCACCACTTTGAGTCTTGACATCACAATCAATATCTAGTAAAAATATTTTTACTTTTAAGCTTCCAAATTTTAATTATTACCATATTTACTTACAAGTAAGAAAGTAAGTTTTATGATGATTGTCTCTTAGATTTTAATTAATTGATAGAAATGGGATTTTCAAGCAATTAGTTGGCACACAATAAGGACTGATAGTTGATACAAATGGGATTTACCCCAAAAAAATGGTTTTATGATTGTCTCTTGGCTTCTATTAGTTTTACTAGTGTTAGATCCCGTCTTCCCATTTTCCTACATATTTTTAGTACTGTTAGTTACCGTTGAAAGAAATCTTGACTTGATTGTTAACGAGGCACATGCAACGTACATTGAGTATAAATTGGGGAGGTGAAATGGATCAGCACAAATACAAAAGAAAGAACGGAAGAAAGAAGAAAGAGAAAAATGGAAATTATATTTAAAAATAAATAAAAAAGAAATTAGACAGAGAAGAGAAGAGAAGAAAAGAAAAGAAAAGAAAAGAACAAGAAAAAAAGTGGAACCCTTCACCACCAAGCCCAGTTTTTACTTTTTATTTTCTTCTATTTGTTGTTAGCTAGGTTTTCGACATAAAACTGACTTTTTAATAGTAATAATGGGAGCCGTCCACCAATTACCAATGATGCTACAAAATTGAAAGGTTAGAAACTGTACTACCCAAAAAAAAAAAAAAAAAAAAAAAAAAAAAAAAGGGGGACAAGGTCAATGACCAAGTCACTACAACCTCTATAGGTTGAAAACTACTACCACGATTTTTCGGGGAAAATAATGTAGGTGAGAGCCTGGATAGTCATTAGCAATGTTCCCCTTATTTGTAATAGGAAAAATGGGTTTATTACTTTACTTTACCTAAGGATCAAAGAAAATAAAAAAATTGGTCCCCTCAACTAAGAACAGCCATTCTACAAAGCAATTTTCAGACAAGAAAGTAGGTAAAGTTGGTCACCGTATCTAAGGCGGGTCTTTGTTTTGAAATTACTAGTCACAAACTACCCAAATATGAACCACCCCAACTGCCCTCTAAATGTCTGATTCTAGTCCTCCTCCTACCTTCCATTATTCTGTCTTTACTTTTTCACTCAAAATCTCATAATTGAAGACAATAATTCAGACTTAAAGATGAAGTGGGGGAGGAAGAAATCTGCGTCGCCTACAACTCATTGTCTTGCTTTAATTACTCGTGTTTTTCCAGCTTCTTGGCTTGTTAAGTTCAAGCAGAATGGTGTTAGTTTTGAGCCTAATTCAGCACAAAAGAAGCAGAAAAGTAAGCTGAAATCTCCATCTTTGAGATCATATGAATGTGCCAGTTGGAAGGAAGATAGATTCTGTAATATGGACGATGACGTTTACTGGAAGCTTTTGTTCGGGGAAGAAAGAATCAAAGCTAGGAAGAGTTCACGGGAAACGAATTCTGTTAAGTATTACTCTGATGATGAGCATGGATTTCCAACAGAAATGACAACAGAAGACAATCAGCAGTTCAACGACATGGCTCTAGACACAAGGAAGATGAAAGAAATACAGCACGAGATGAGAAATACATGGGAAAATCATGCCTCAAGGAGCAAAAAGGGAAACGGGAAAGCTACATACAAAACACTAAGGAGACAAGCTAAGAAGGATCGAAAGTCCAAAAACTTGAAAGAGAAGCGAGCAGAAAATGAAAGATTGCCTGATGAGGAGAAATCGTCCAAGTCAGTTGAAAAAGATATATTTGAAATTGCAGAGGAGAGTAGGGTAGTTCATTGGAAAGAGAAGGATTTTGTGAAACCAGCAGCTTCTAATTCAAGAGAGAAGCATGGCTTCTTCTTTCCAAGCTCCAGTGCAAGAAAATTTGAGAAAGATTCCACATTTGACGATCTGAATTTGGAGGAAAGTAATGCAACTTCTCAAGAAGATTTCAATTTGGACAGGCAACAATGTGAAGACAAGAAGATTAAGGATATAATCTCACATATCGAACCCCTTAGGAAGTCTGCTTACATATGTAGGGAGTCTCCTATAAGAACGAAGCAGAAACTAAAAGTGTATTCTCCTAGAACAGAATGCAAAATTAGAGCTCTTGAAGACATCAAGAAAGCAAGAATGAAATCAAAAAAGAAGACTAGGGAGAAAGGATTTGAAGGCAGTACAGTCTTTGATAATTTTGCTGTGGTAAAATGCTCCTTTGCACCAGAACGAGACTTCAGAGATTCAATGGTTGAGATGATCAGAGAGAAAAGGATCAGAGAGCCAGACGAGCTTGAAGAACTCTTGGCTTGTTATCTAACGTTAAACTGTGATAAATATCATGATCTCATCATCAAGGTTTTCCAGCAGGTGTGGCTATTGGAGCTGAACCAGGAGTTTGTTGATCTTGAAATAGGAAACGATCGCCAGATTTATGATAAATAATTGTTTAGACATGCAAATGTAATATTGTAACCAGAATACAAAATATGTTCTTTTATGGGAATAGTAAGTGTTACTTTTATCTTTCACACTAAAAATTCGAGGCAAGGAAAGAATCAGAGTACAAGTTTCGGGTTGATTATGATTGCTAAATAGAGTTAGAATGATATCTTAGCAGGCTTATAAATGTCACTCACACATCTCATCATTTTTTTGTCAAGTTCTCTCTGCCGGAGCACGATGTCCCAACTGTTCAACTTTCTTTTTTCTGCCTTCCACGTTTTTTCTTACGTTGAACTTCAAATGAATCGATAGGACCAGGATTTTCAGTTAGAAATTGTTCCCAGAATACATTATTGACCTCTATAATCCATTCACATACAGGTAGCCATCCCAACTGCCTTTTCCTGCCTCTGGAAGAAGAACACTCGGAATTCACGTCAATCCCAGAAGTCTTGGACCCAACATTAACCTTTTTTTTGTCTATAAAATCTCGTGTGGCCATCTGAACATCTTGTAGATTCATCAACCTCCAGATATGAAACTTCACCCATGTCGAGTAATGTATTCTCCCAAAAGACCAGAGATATTGCTTCCTGGAAACATTCTCTTTGTATCATGAATTTCCACTTGTGCAATAATTAGATCAAGTGCCAGTTTTGATTAAGCTGGAGAAGTAAATAATAATTGTGCTTGAAGAATCTGAGCAGAAAATCTTGTGTAAACTACGTGACGATAATCCACAATCTCATACGTCGACCAACAAATCTAGTGTGACAATTTTTCAAATCAAAATGTCATTAAAAGTTGATCCTTTAAGTTACTCTTGCATAATGCGACTTCTTTAATTATAACACTCAAGACGATGGAACAAGGATACATTTTATTCGAGGAAGACGTATATGTACTATCAAAAAGTATATTTACAAAAAATGTGGATCCCATCTATAACATAATTGCAATTTTCTTAATCAAACGTACTAATTTTGCCAGCACAATAAAACAAAATAATTTCTCGAATTATAACCAGCACCCCACGCTCACCTCCTCCTATAAAAAGCCTAAACACGTGCACCACCCGCATTTTCAGGACATGTGAAATACATAAATTAAAGTAATTAACCCCTCCCTGCAGTGGTAATCTCGTAATTTCCTCCATCTCCAGGACCAAACTATTACTATTCTCTCCTGCATATCTAGCTCTCACTTTCTTCTCTCTTCATTTATATCAACTCTCGCACTTCCCTTCACAAGAAAAACCCGGTCCACTCCAGTCAAACCGGTTATTTTTCTCCACAACCGGTTCGACTCGCTGATTTTTCACCTCCGCCGGTGGGAGCCAAAGCGAAGTAGTCTAGATGACGTCAGGAACAAGGCTGCCAACATGGAAGGAAAGGGAGAACAACAAGCGGAGAGAGAGGCGGCGGAGAGCGATCGCTGCTAAGATCTTCACCGGTCTGAGGATGTATGGAAATTACAAGCTCCCCAAGCACTGTGATAACAACGAGGTCCTGAAAGCTCTTTGTAATGAAGCTGGTTGGATTGTTGAAGAAGACGGAACCACTTATAGAAAGGTACGCTTATATTATCAGCAATAATTTCTTATTATCAAGGTAGGCGCAGGTTAGCGTGCGATGTGAAGGATGGGAATCGTGTGTAGATCTTTGGCTACTGGAAAAATTTCGATTGACTTTAGGTGTGTCTAATTTTATTTTAAGAAATTGTGATAGTTGGTTACTGGATATATCTAAAATGCGCTGTAGGTGTCATGTTACCGGCGGGGGTAAGATGTTGACCAAGTGCTTTGCTGCACAGTTGTACTCTCAGAGATCGCTGTGTGACTGTGTTAGCTGAATGTTATGGTGCGCTGTACGCGTCCGGCGCCTAGGGGAGAAAAAATGTTAGGGCTGTTTGATTTGATTGGTTGTCAACTGCTGTCTCTCTTTTAACGCATGTGAGGGTTTTGTACCAGTGAACGGTGCAGATTTATCTGGATGTGGAGATATGTACTTTACGCTAGATCATTTCTGAATGCGAATTTACACGATTCTCAAAAGATTCTATTCCTTTAACTTTTTGGACTGTCAATTTTTTATATTTTTATTTGTTTTTATTTTAGTTTTGATAAAAGACACACACAGGGCCCTCCCGGCCCGTGTAGCTCCAAATATAAGGCGAGTAATTCCTAGTGTACGGTTTTATATGGGACAAACCTCTGAATACCGATCAGCTCGTCCTGACATCCTTAGACAAATATGTTCTTTCTTATTCTCTTTATTACTCCTAGTTAAAGCTTGTGAAGATCTGGGGTTCACGTGGGCAAAAGCTTGGCATCGGTACTTTTGTGGTGTTAAGTAATTTTTCTCCCTCATTTATTCAACCATTATGTTAGATCAGTGTGAGGGGAGTGCACAAAGCACTGTTAACCTCTGGCAAATTTATACCAAAATTTGGTCGAATTTGGCACGAATTAATACTCACACCAAGTTTCACCCTCGATTCGAGAACCTGCGCTTCCCATTCCTTTTTATTTAAATGTGTATGTTGAAAGGAAGGTTGTGATTTAGGCCACCTCTAGAAATGTTAGGCAATTGCAACTATCCTGTGGGACCTATCTTTCTCCTGAAAAGGAGGTAGGTTTATTGTTATTTGCATAGTGACACACGGGGTTGTAACTAGACACTAGGGACTGCAGTGGTGTACTTTGTCCCCATTGTCAATGCTAAGGGCAGTTGTGTTGTCAATACAATGCAATTAGGTTCCATCACTCTACGCACATCAGCATGCTGTAATTGGGCATTCCAACTGTTCTTGGCATTTCTTAACATCTAATGCATAGAAATCTTGCATGTTTGTAGCATTATGAATAAAACGTTTATTTCTATCTGCTCATTAGCTTTTAGATGAAAACACTGTATCTTCTAGTTGGAATAGATGAAGGACGTTGTGCTAGAATTTCATTTTTTCTAGTTGTAATAAAGTGTATGATAAATTTAGTTTATGATGGAATTATGGTCATGGCAGCTAATTCTCGTGATTATACATCCACTCAAGTCATTAGAAATGTTGAGTCATGCAAACTGCATCATTGATTTAAGTGAACTCGGTAAATGCAGAGGATCCCTATCCTTATCAACCTGAAGTGTTGGGGCCATTGGGCTAGTGGTGAAATCTAGCAGGTTGATTAATTTTGGGCTCCCAATCCACACATCAATTGCAGGCAGGACCAAGCAGAAATGGTGACCTTCCATGCTCATTACAGTTATTAAAAACTGGTGTCAGATATTGTGATCTTGCTTGAGACATACTGTAAGCTCTCTTGAAGATAGAGAGCAATAAAGATAGCGTACAAGATGCTTGAATTTTACACAATTTTAGATCTTTAATTTTGATGTTTACGGGATAATTTCTGGCTTATAATTTTTCCTAATTGCTTATGGGGAAACACATGATTTCTTTTTGTTGAATTTTTGGGACATATCGACACATTTTTATTAGGAATTGGTTGATTGACTGAAGTTTTTGATTTACGGAGAACCATTCTTTGTGTATTGCTATTGTAGTTCATTGTTAAGACCTTCAGATTGTACATATTGTTAGATTTTTGTGATGTAAGCTTTATGTGAAGCCATAAACTAGTAACTTCTGGAAAATAATGAAACGTTTGTTTAATTTAAAATCCTAGATGTTTACTTCTTATGTTCTGCTTGCGGTTAATAGTTTCTCCTCTTCTGCAGGGATGCAAGCCAGTGGAACGCATCCACATTATTGGGGGTTCATCTACAGTAAGTCCTTGCACTTCATATCAACCAAGCCCAGGCGCATCTTTTAACCCAAGCCCTGCTTCATCCTCCATTCCCAGCCCCGTTTCATCCTATTATGCTGCTAATGCTAATAATACTGCCGATCCTAGCTCACTCATCCCGTGGCTCAAAAATCTATCTTCTGGGTCCTCACCTCCTTCATCCAAGCTACCCCACCATCTCTACATCCCTGGGGGTTCTATAAGTGCTCCGGTCACCCCACCATTGAGCTCACCTACTGCCCGCACTCCTAGAATGACGGGTAACTGGGACGATCCAACAGCTGGTTCAGCATGGGCTGGGCAACACTATGCCTTTCTACCCTCTTCTACACCACCAAGTCCTGGTCGTCAAACTCCACCTGATTCAGGATGGCTTTCTGGTGTTCAAACTCCTCAAGATGGGCCTTCATCTCCCACATTTAGCCTTGTCTCACCTAATCCATTTGGGTTCAAAGAGCCATTGTCAAATGGGGGGTCTCGTATGTGGACCCCAGGGCAGAGTGGAACTTGCTCTCCTGCTGTGGCTGCTGGTTTTGATCAAACGGCCGATGTTCCCATGTCGGATGCAATTTCAGCTGAGTTTGCCTTTGGCAGCAATACCAAAGGACTAGTGAAACCATGGGAAGGAGAGAGAATCCACGATGATTGTGTTCCCGATGATCTTGAGCTTACTCTTGGGAACTCTACTACCAGGTAATTGGTTGATCTTTCTGATTGTTAGGAAAGGGGATAATCTTTTATTTCTGACACATTGTTTGTGTTGGTGCATTGCAGATAAAGAGGTGCAAATGAAGTATCCAAGCGTTCACTAATATGGATCTGCCTCTGCGCAAACTTCAATTACCTCTCTCTTGTATCGACCATTCTAAATATGGTAGTATTCTGGTCCATTGAGATACAGAGTAGAGCCTTTTTTTGCTTTCTTTTTCCCCACATCAGAAGAAACAATAGATTGGAATATAAATCGCCTGTTTTGTTACCTCTGCACCTTTTATATCTCTTTGCAGATTTTCCTTCATATATCTTTCTTGCAAATTCTTTCTATTCTTTCTAAATGTTGCACTATAACACCTGCTTACTGGGGTGTGATTATGTTTTTCGTTTTGTATTGGAATTTATCTTTGATTATCGTAAAGTGACGGTCTTTGTCTAGTGTTCTATATGCACAGATATGGTTATCAAAATTATAATACTTTGGCCCCAAAACAATACCACAATGTTCCAAAAATACAAAAAGAATTATGTTACTTGTACGTAAAAACATTACTTATTGCATCAGGGGTTAAATAAAATGATGTAGAAGAAAAGGTAGAAATTTTTTTATAATTAGCAGGCTTAGATATTAAGGGTGCTTTGTCGTTAGTAACTTCATATGGTTTTAGGTAATCTCACATTAGAGGGATTACTATATGTCAACTTGTGATTCTGATAAATCAAGCTACGCATAATTGTATTAAATCATGGTTCGTTCTATGAAACATCTTTTTTGAGCCCAAATTCTAATTATCTTGTTAATATTATGCTCAACTTAGAGTCGCTTGTTTAATCTGACATTTACATTTTCACTGATTTGCAATCTATTGAATCTGATGGATCACGAGGACACTTTACCCCCATCATCAATTCCTAATATACAACATATTTCATTTATCCAAAGCAATTTGCCTGTCAATTCTGTACAACATTTGGCCATGTACAACAAAAGAATCCTGCAACAAGGTATATGCAATACAACTGATCCACGTCGTGTACGATGGCGGATGTCCCCCAATTGTGCTGTCACCCTTGAAGCTTCTGATACAAGTCTCCGAGGGCACGGTAAAGACTGGCTGCAGCAGGTGGTCGAGGCAATGAACCAAGAAGAATATCTGATGCATTTATAGACTCGCTACCATAGAATCTGGAATTTTCCCATTTACGAGTTGTGACGACACTACCTTCTAGAGAGCATCCAATAAATGCACCTATAAGGCAATAAAGATGATGTTGCCAAATGCATCATGAGATAATTTTTCACCAAGATGTCAAACCCCATGTTATCAATATTAATTCCTCATCCTTGAATCAGAGTGCATAAATGAAAACAGTTGACAAACAACATTTACGAGATGCGAAGTTTAAACTGAATGACAAAAATTACCTTTACTACAGCTATACGTATAACAAGCAGCGTAGCCATTAGAACCGGCTCTCATATCAGCTTCTGCAGTACGTCCAATGATCCCTATAGCTGCGCTCAAACCAGCTCCAACCGAGAGATGCGTATCACTGCTGAAGGTTTTTACTGCATCACTCGTTCTCAATACAACTATAAAATCAGTCAGCTCTCCCCCAGCCTGCAGAACGAATTTAGAAGCTAAATAAGCTATATGTTACAAGAAAAGCAAGAAATAGATACTCAAAAGCCACTAACTTTGCAGTAGTTTAAGGCCTTTTCATAGAACAATTTAATTCTTCTCGGACCATGAAGGAATGCATCTATAGTGGTTTTTTTTTTTTTTTTTTTTATTTTTATAAAATCCCTTTTTTTTTTTTTTTTTTTTTTTTTATTTAAAGAAACATATCATCTGAGATATATGAACTTGGGCCTAACTTCATTCTTTTAAGGACACCACTGGCACTCCCTTAAAAAGAATTCTTAAAACAGTGATCACTTTCCCTCTTTTATGCGTCTCCTAGCCTCTCCACTGGGCCTTTACGCTTTTAGAGGTCACTCAGGGCTTATTTTAAAAACAGTTTTAAACTTTTAACTTGGAGTTAAGACATGCTCTTAAGTCAGCTCTCCCCCAGCCTGCAGAACGAATTTAGAAGCTAAATAAGCTATATGTTACAAGAAAAGCAAGAAATAGATACTCAAAAGCCACTAACTTTGCAGTAGTTTAAGGCCTTTTCATAGAACAATTTAATTCTTCTCGGACCATGAAGGAATGCATCTATAGTGGTTTTTTTTTTTTTTTTTTTTTTTTTATAAATATCGTTCCTAAGAAAATTTATGAGCTCCGTAGAACGCAAACATTATTTCACCCATCATAGCCAGTAGCCTAAGAAAATTTATGAGATCCTGCGTTCTGTTAGTGATAAGCTGTTAGCTGTTACGAGTAAGTTGAGGGGCACAGAAAGCCATTAAATCCTGAGATTGCACCTCCTTTTTGTTTAGTGCTAAGCCGAACAGAGCCTGAGCATTGACATCCCAAAACAGAAAATTTTGGTAGACAGATGCACACAATGCATTGTTGGATGGAGACTAGTAAATCTTCTCACTCTTTTAAACAGAACTTTCCAAGTAAAACGTAAACCACTTTACCTGAGCGCCCCAGCCTACACCAAAGGAAGTAATGGCAGATGGTGCAGACCATGTGCCATCATCCCTACGCGCAATTACCAGACCTGTTCCAATTTTATATGTCACCATCATTCCAACTTTCGCAACAGTGAGTATCGCAAGGCCTTTTGCATTTTGTAAAATAGCTTCTGGAATTTTTCTCTCTGGTCTCAAGGAACCAACCTGAGAAATCATATATTGCACAACAAAATAAAGAAGTCAAAAATCAATTAGGAGTTTCATCATAACATGTATGTGTGTTCTTAGTACAGTAAAATGCCAGCGGCATTTCTTTCCCGCTTAAAATTATAACCAGAATGATGTTTGACTATGGAGCTTTCAATTGGGAGAAAGAACTCATATAGCTAATTGATGCCTTGCTGTTTTAATCATTTCCTAGGTAAACAGTAACATGAAGATAGCATGTCGACAAAATCAATACCCCACTTTGTTTTCATGACTTAAATAGGAAGTGTTAAAGAGAGAGAGAATGTCAGAAATTTGAGTTGATTTCAGACCTTACTATAACAGCAGATTGTGTTTGTGGCCTTGTAAATTTCATGTTCCATTGTCTGACCCCACGGAAAATTTATCCACGATCTTAAAGTGCTTAGGTCTGTCAGATCATGTGTTGGCAACTGGGCAGCACGGCTCACTTGATTCATTAAGTATGGCTGCACAACCTCAAGACGCACACAACATACATCACACACTCGTTGTGGATTCCCAGCACGAAATTTTTCTGGCAATAAGCTCCTTCCATTGGTACAGTCACTGCAAAAGACTCCTCCACAAAACCGACAATGATGCCTAGTGCACATTATTGGGTGAAACCGCACGCTACACAGCATACAGGAAGAAGCTGCACTATCGGGAAGCCATTTGGGTGGTTCAGCTTCAAGAAGTTCTTGGGCATTACTGAAATTAGCCTCCGTGAGAGTTTGAGCCATCTCTTTCCATGCTTGCTCAATTACGCAGTTAGATATCCATGAAATTTTCCCAATATCACCTGAAGCAAAAGAACCGACCTTACCTCGGGCCACAAGTAACATCTCCGCAACCACATCCCACATAGTCATTTCTTTATCTTCTGCAGTGCATTGACCCCAACTAGCATCTCCTTCAGGATTGTATCCGCCATTAGTGCAGAAACCTCTGGTCCACTCTTCATGGTCACTTTCTGACATAGGAGGAATGGAGACAGGTATCCAAATTCCAGTTTCTTCATAATGCGGTGAGTCATAATAGAAGTACTTTCCTTGCTTAGAATACGATGTATTCAACTCTCTCCTGCGGTCAATCTCAGCTTCTGTATATTGAGGTGACTCGGTTTCACAGTCTTCCATGTCAGCTATTTTTGTGCTCATGTTCTTGGTGGTCTTCTCAGGCTGGGAAGAGACACATTGTTTATCACTGTTCTCTGCAGGCATAGCCAACTGGCAACATGGTAAAACACCATTCTCATGTGTTGGGTGTCCCACCTTTCCAGACAGAGACTCAACTTCCTCAGTGTTGGCCAGTTCTTGGCTCCTAGATTCATCCTGAGGCATTTCACAAGAGCATGATACAGGCTTATCTTGTTGGCTCTGAAAGCACACTCTTTCATCACTTTCATTCCCTTTGCTCTGGAGTGACAATTTATTAACAGATTCTTCAGTTAGAAATATTTGCTGGTTCATGAAATGGTTGGTGTCAGAAATATCATCCACCAAGCTAATACATGATAAAGGACTGTATTCTTCATGGCTATCCATTTATTTGCCTGCAGAACCAACAACAGGTTCTAAGTTTTAACTACTTAACTTGTAAAGAGAAAACTGCATCGCCAATTAAAGCGCCCCCAGAAACAAGGAAGGAAAGAACTCCTCTTTTGTAGTAGCTAACCTCAAAACTTCCAAGAGGCAATTACTCTTAACAATTTTATTGGAGACACCTTGGACATGAGTAACAGACTCACCGAGGGTTATAGACTTGTTCTCTACTTTAATCATCACATTTAACCTTGGGCTCGCTGAGGTTTCAACATTTTCCCTTTCCCATTTAGTGTTTCATTCATGCTTTCTCAAGATCACCACATAATTGACCAAATGATACTTTAACTAATTATCAAAGCCTCCTCAACCCATAACTTACTAATAAAGAGAAATAATAGGTCAGTTAATATTTACTGAAAAATCTAAATAACTGTTCATGAGAACAATCTAGTGTAACATAAGAATAAGTTAATAATCATAAGTGGTGCTGATGCATATAATACTCCTAATTTTATCATAATAGTTCATTTAAGAAAAAAATGAAAATTAGAAAGCACATTTTTTACACTTCCCAATGTTCTTCATTACTGAACAACTTTCCAAACAGAAAAAGGGCGTCAAAGGCATATTACCAACAGATGCATTTTGAAGATACCCATAAGTTATAAATATAGGCAAATCACACGCAGGATTGAGGTTTCATTTTACTACCCCATTCAAATTCAGTCATTAATCAACCTTAAAAAGAGTATCTTTCACTCATCTATAATAAACTCACCAGTTCCATCTTCCTGAAAAAATCGAACATCTTACCAGCATATTTCTCATTACACTACACAAATAACTAGGCCAAAATCATTTTGAGCCAAAGCAACTTAATTTTCTAGAAAAAGGACAATAACCTAATTTTAAAGAACATTAACAAGTACTTTAATTAATTTAACATGTAATGCTTGGAAAAGAAAGGGGTAAGGTAATATGCATCGTGCCCAAAAAATCTGATTATTCTAACAAATCATAGCAATCAAACAGAATGACCCTGATATCTGAGCTAAAAACTTTAAACAAGGAATTAAATACGACCAGTTTCACAATCAAACCACAACACCCCACGAATATACATAAGTAAATCTGAAAGTAATTAAAAGAAGACTACCTGTAGAAAATTGGGAATGGAAACCCTATATTCTGATAGCTCTATTTCTTATCCTGCTGAAATTCGCAACCCGTTTACTGTTGATCGCCCAAACTACTCGACAATTATTTATTTGCTTGTGGGAGTGGGAGGTCTCCATTAAAAAAGAAAAATTAATATAAAAAATAGTTAAAACACAAGAGGCCTATTAGCTCAGTTGGTTAGAGCGTCGTGCTAATAACGCGAAGGTCGCAGGTTCGAGACCTGCATGGGCCATGTTTTTCCGTCTTTTCCCTTTTTACGAGAGAGCTGAAGGCTAAAGCACACATTTCAAAACATTTTACCCTTTTTTGGGAAAATCCAGTTCTTAACTTCAACTTTCAAGCATTTTCATGTTTAATTCTACAATGTTAATTTATATTTGTTTACCTTTAAATCTTGCTTTTTCTTGAGATAATTAAATTTTTTTCCCCAATATGAGTTGATGTTGTTTGCTATAATCGCGATGGTCAAAATTTAGACTGAAAGCCACTATTATCTGTTGGCATAAAGTCGACTTAATCCTAAATGTTTTGATCATAACAAATAAGATTATTTTTATTTCTAACAAATTCCTTTTAGGGATGATGGTTCAATGCTCAAATCAATCATGTATTATCGGACTTCAAATGAAGATCAAAGTGAAAGCTATGTATTCAAGTCAAATTATTCGAGACAAACAGTTTAAGAGATAAATGGAAAAAAAAAGATCAAGATCAAGAGCGTGAGAGACGACATTAATAAAAGATCAAGACGAGGCATACTTCGGAGCAAAGACTTGATTTCTTAGGCAAAATGTAAAGGTACTAATGCTTTGATATTTGGCAAAAAATAGTTAAGCTCAAAATCTTGCTATGTATTAAAAATAATTTTTGTGCACTAAGATAATTCGAATGCAACATTTTTTAACAAACATGAAAATGACTTTTAAAAATGATATATGGATTTTAAAGACATTTTTATTATGAAAATTTAGTTAGAAACATTCTCCAAAAATTCATACACTTCACAACGGTCTAGAATTTGATCGTTATGACTTCTGATTTTTATTGTACAAGCAGCTATATTGATCTTTCGAACAAGAGGCGGTCGACCGGACGAGTCATCCGCAAATTCAAATTTTTTTAACGTTTTGGACTCTATAATACCCCAACCTTTTGCATTCATTATCATCACTTCCAAAAGCATTAAATTGAGATACATTCAAGCTTTAACTCTCTACTCTTTATTTATCTCTATCAATTATTCACTTTTGAAATTTTTTTGATTGAGTTTACTTTTGAAAATCATTTCATTTATCAAAATTTTCTTCAAACCTAACACTTGAGCTTCACTTATTGTCATTTATTAAAGTGTTACCCTACTTCTTTCCATTATACTCAAATTTGAATATATCTTTATTGTGGAAGAAGATTCCTTTCTTGTAAAGTTTACTTTTGATTGAATTGTGGGTTGTGTTAAGGTCCCGGAAAGCTCAACGTTATAAAAGGATCGGTGCTCATTGTTTGTAAGTCACCGAAATCTTTGTAGAAGGTTGGATTGCACCATAAGTCAATACATTTAGTGAAAAAGGCTTTACTCGTGACGGAAATCTTGGTCATGGGGGGACGTAGATCGTGATTGGATCGAACCTCCATAACACATCGTTTGCATTCTCTATCCCTTTCTCTTGTTATTTTTCCAAGTTATCTTGCTTGCTCTTTATTATATTTGCAAATTGTTTTTATTAGCACTTATTATTGGAAAAATTTTAAATAACCAATTCACCCCCCTCTTGGTTAGTCATTCTTGGGCTTTCAATTGGTATCAAAGCGAGGTACTCACTTTTAAAATATTTTACAATCTTGAGTAATGGGTAACCAAGTGTTACAAACTCTAAAGGGACACTCCACTAATCGACCCTCTTTTTTTGACGGCCCAAACTACAATTATTGAAAAGCTAGAATGATGATATATATGCAATCTATTGATTATAATATTTGGAAAGTTATCGAATTTGGTCCATATGTTCCTGCTAAAACTATTAAAATAGATAGTAGATCGGATCAAACTATTTCTAAAACTAGGGAAGAATATGATGAAGAAGATAAGAGAAAATTGTCCTTAAATGCCAAGGCTAAAAATTTGCTTTATTGTGCACTTGATAGAAATGAATTTAATAGAATCAGCATATGATATTTGGCATGCTCTTGAAGTCACTCATGTTGGCACAAGCAAGGTTAAAGAAACAAAAATAAATTTGTTGGTTAAAGAATTTGAAAATTTCTTTATGAAACAAGATGATCCCATTGTTAATATGATCACACGTTTTGCCGATATTGTAAATAGTCTTAAAGGTTATGATCGTAAATTTACTAACGGTGAATTTGTAAGTAAAATGTTTAGGTTCTTGTTGGAGGAGTGGAGCCCGATAAGAATGTTGATCTAAAATACCAAGGATATAAATGTATATCTTTTGGAGGAGCTCTATGGTACATTAATGACCTATGAGCTAAATAATGTCGAAGTTAAGAAGAAAATAAGAAAAAGCAAGGAGGAATCAAATGAGCCTCTTAAACGACAAATTACACTAAAATCGGCAATTGAAGAAGGAACATCAAAAAAAGACATGAGCGATGAAGAGTTCGATGACTTGGTTCTTCTTGTCAAGAAATGGAGCGGCTTTCGCAATAATCGAAAATTTCAAAAGAAAGAAGAAAAAGGAGAAAAAGGAAGTAAAAAGATTATTTGCTATGATTGTGATAAGCCAGGCCACAAGAGAACCGAATGCCCAGATAAAAAGAAAAATTTCAAGAAAAAAGCACTTCAAGCGATATGAGATGATCGCGACAATAAAGAACAAAGTGAAAATGATAGTCAAAACGAAGAGACAAGTATTTGCTTCATGACAGTCGAAGACGAGGTACGTTTAGATGAAAAATATTCTTATGATGAGCTTTCAAATTTTTATGATGAAATGCTTGAGAAATTTGAAAAACTTGCTTTAAGTCATGCTATCCTTAAAAAGAAAAATTCTTTGTTGAAATAAGAAATAAATAAAATTTTGAAAAAGCAACAAGAAAATGTTGATCATGATTTTGTAGTAAAAGAGAACATTGCTTTGAAAGAAAAAGTGGATGACTTAACAAAAATCATTCATAAATTCACCAAGGGAAAGAAAAATTTTGATTTAATACTTGGTAATCAAAAATACATTTTTGATAAAGGGGGAATAGGATATAAACCCTCTTTAAAACAAAAGTCCCTCAAAAATATGTTTGTTAAAGCTTCTAACACTACATGTAGTTTTTGTAATAAGAGTGGATATGTAGCCTTTAATTGTGTAGCTAAAAAGAAGCTATTTTTTGAAAACAAGCATAAGTGGATTCGAGAATCCACTAAAACTAACTATCAAGGACCCAAGTTTGTATGAGTACTAAAAATCAAAACTTAAATTTTTCTTGTAGGAACCGAAGAAAACTAAAAAAGCAAATGGTTCTTAGATAGCGGTTATTCAAAGTATATGATTGGAGATCGATCCTTGCTATCAAATTTCAAAGAAAATAATGGAGGACATGTAACCTTCGGGGATAACGCCAAAGGTAAAATTATTGGTATTTGAAACATTGGTAATCACGCAACCCCTCAATTGAAAATGTTCTATTTGTTGATAACCTCAAACATAATTTACTAAGTATTAGTCAATTATGTGATAAAGGTTATAACATAAAATTCTATTCTTCAAAATGCCTTATTAAGGACGCTACATCTAAAGAGGTGATTTTCATAGAAAACCGAAGTAAAGATGTTTATATTATACACATTGAATTTGAAAATAATGAAAATTGTTTACTTAACTTGAGAGAAGAATCATGGTTATGGCATATAAGACTTGGGCATGCAAGCATGGATCTTCTTTCAAGAATTTCTAAAAATTGTTTTGTAAAAGGTTCGCCAAATTTAAAATTTGAAAAAGATAAAATTTGTGATGCTTGTCAATTTGGAATACAAGTAAAAAATTCTTTCAAACCTAAACTTTATTCTTCAACTACAAAACCTTTACAACTTCTTTACATGGATCTTTTTATACTTTTTAGAACGGCTAGCTTAGGTGGTAAACATTACACCTTTGTTATAGTCGACGATTTTTCAAGATTCACTTGGGTCATATTTTTAAGCTTAAAAGAAGAAGCCTAGAAAGTTTTTAAACATTTTTGTAAAAAAGTTGAAAATGAAAAAGGTTATTCTATTACAATAATTAGAAGTGACCTGGTGGAGAATTTGATAATGTTGGTTTAGATGATTTTTGTAAAGAATATGGATATGAACATAACTTTTCGGCTCCTAAAACACCTCAACAAAATGGTGTAGTAAAACGGAAGAATCGCACATTGCAAGAAATGACTCAGACCATGTTAAATGAAAATAATTTGCCTAAGTACTTTTGGGCCGAGGCCATTAATACCGCTTGCTACGTCATCAATAGAATTTTAGTGAGCAAAAAAAAAAAAAACTAAAACACCTTACGAACTTTGGAAAAATAGAATTCCAAATGTTAATTATTTCAAGGTTTTTGGATGTAAAGGTTTTATTTTAAATACAAAAGACAATTTGGGGAAATTCGACTCCAAATCTGATGTTGAAATTTTTCTAGGATATTCATCAACTAGAAAAACTTATAGGGTGTTAAACAAACGAACTCTAGTCGTTGAAGAATCTATGCATGTTACTTTTGACGAAACTAACTCTTTTGATCGAGAGAAAGGTAGTGATGATGATATAGGATTGGAAGTTCCTTTTGAATAAATGAAAATTCAATACCAAAATAAGGAGGCGCCAAATGAAGAAAATGAAAAATCAAATGCTCAAGAAAATGAGGAAAGACAAATCGAAGAACAAAATAATCCCTCGTTACCAAAGGAATGGAGATTTGTTCCATCCCATCCTAAGGAGCTTATTATTGGTGATCCGTCGGAAAGTATTACTACTAGAACTTCTTATAAAAATCATTTTGGTAATTGTGCATTTATTTCTCAAATTGAATCTAAAAATTTTAAAGAAGCAGAATTTGATGAGTTTTGGATTGTAGCGATGCAAAAAAAATTAAATCAATTTGAAAGAAATCATGTTTGAAAC